GGTTTCTGCCTAAAAGTCATTTCTTCAGAGGCGTATTCTCTGATGGAGTGGTGTGCCTTCATTCTTTACAATGATTCTCCTTTGTAGCAGTTTCAGTAACTACTTTTTATAATTTTTTCTTTTTTCTTTTTTTTAGATGGAGTGTCACTCTGTTGCTCAGGCTGGATCTCAGATCACTGCAACCTCTGTCTCCGGGGTTCAAGTGATTCACCTGCCTCAGCCTCCCAAGTAACTGGGACTACAGGTGTGTGCCCCCACACCCAGCTAACTGTTGTATTTTTTTTTCTTTTTTTTTTTTTAGTAGGGAGGGGTTTCACCATGTTAGCCAGGCTGGTCTCAAACTCCTGATCTTAAATGATAAGCCCACCTTGGCCTCCCAAAGTGCTGGGGTTACAGGCATGAGCCATGGTGCCCAGCCTATCATTTTTTTCTTTAGTTTCTTTATTCCCCAAACAGACTTCTGCCTCCATGAGTACAAGTAATCTCTCTCCATTACCACGAGTCACCAGAGACAGTGCCTGGCACAGATGAGTTGTTAATAAACTTTTGTTAAGCGAACAAATCCAAGTAAGGAAACAAAACAGTGAGCATGACCACCAAATGTAAATGGCTTCAATATCTAGTTATATATAAGGCTTGACATAAGAATTCTGACCAGGTTCTATACAAAAGTTTAATCACCTTTACTTTCTTTACTAAACAACATAAAAAGAGAAGGAAATTCTGCTATCAAGCTTAAATTTATAAAAATAAATAAATAAGATATTCAGAAAGGCAGAGAATTTTCTCTAATCAACAAGGAAGTGAGTCTTCTCTAAAGTAAATCAACAAGGAAGTGAAAGGTGTGAGAAGCAAAAGAGTAATAGATTAGAACTACAATTGCCTGGCTGCAATACTTTCTCAACTGTCTGATTTTGCAGAAGTAATCTGTTTCTTAAGTTCCCCATTTGTAAAATGGGGATAAAAAAGCCTTCTTAAAGAATTACTATGGTGTTCAAGTAAGTTAATATATATAAACTGTCTGTCAGTGGCACATTAGAATATAAATTACAAAAAAAGCAGAGACTACATATTACTCTTCTCTGTACAGGTAGGGCTCTGCAGAAATTAAACCCTACAAAAACTGACTGGAGTAACTACTTCCTCAGTTCTCTCAAGAATGATACATAGCTAGTACCATTCTAGGTGCACAGGAGATGAGGTACTTCATTACATACTTTAGATGCCTCAGAGCATTAGGGTTTGATTTTCACCAGAAACATGGTTGAGAAGGACCACTCTCATGTATCCCCAGTGCCTGGCACATGGTAGATGCTCATTAAATATTTTTGAAAAGACTCTTTACAAAACCAAAGATACAGTGCTGGCATAGAGTAGATGCTAAATGTCAGTTTTATCCCAACCTTTCAAAGTGTCTATAAGCCTTAAAAGTCTGATTCTAGGGAAGTTATTTTTCTTCAACCTGCAGTGCTTATACAAATTCATGGCCAAAAATGCAGATATAGACATTAGGAAAACCAAGAAACTAAATTTTGGAAGGAACTATGTGGAAGCAGTGAGAGGTGGAATATAGGTAGAATCTGGATATGCAGGAGAAAGAGTAAAGGTTATTCTAGGTCAGGGAACAGCATTACCAAAAGCAGTGTCACCCAAAGTACGAAACATGTGCCATACTGGCACAAGAATTATTTTAGACTATAAAAGGAGAAACATTTTTATTTTGATAGTTACATATGTACATATTTTTACATGTAATTAGGACAGCAAATAGTGATTTCAAATTTTTACTATTTAAAACAACACTAAAGTAATATCTGTTCAGGCCTTTTAATGTGAGTCCTTAAAAAATGTATTAAGTAAGCAATAGAGCACAAGAGGTAAGCAAACATAGCAAAAACTGTCAGCATTTTTAAAAGTGAGTAAAATTCAGTAAACAAGCAAAGAAGACTTGTGAATATGAATGAACATAACATATTAAGAGAAAACGGTCACCAATCTTCTGAATGGAGCCAAGCCAAAACTCTATCTCGAGTAGTGATTCAAGATAAAGGTCAGATGAGTATGAAGAATACCACCAATTTTGAGTATTTAACTTACAGTGCTACAATTTTTATCTCTAAAACCTCATTTTCCATTATGATGAATCTGTTATACACAGTACTTTCACTTTGTTTATTCTCAAAACAAAAGTAAATTGTAGAAGTTCCAAATAGACATCTGAAAGGACTGACCTATCTGTAGCTCTGTAGTTAGCTGACTTGAACATGGTGGGCTAAAACCCTGTAGTTTTCAAATCAGAAGGAAGTAATTTATACGATTATAAATGCTGTTTACATCAAAAAGGATGTTAAATACCAAAGAGGGCAGCTTTCTATTCCCACCTTCTTCTCTTCGAATTAAACTACTCACAAGCCAGATCAAGTCAAATCAAGAACTGATGATAAAGAGAACATTTATCAGATATTTGCCCTGTGCCAGGCACTGTTGTAAGTGCTTTACTTGTATTTACTTGTGCAATCACCAGCACCAGCCTATGAGGTAATATTATAACCCCATTTTACAGCTGTGAGACTACTGAGGTCCAGAGATATCAAATAACTTGCCCAAAGCCAATGTTGGTAGACGGCAGAGCAAGGGTTTATACCCTGGCAACTACACTAGCCTGAGCTCTAGAGAAGAGTTCTTAACCACTAGGCAACATTTCTCATAAGAATGAAGAAATGGTCATTTGAAATATTCCACCAGTCCCATTGTGGCAGGAGAAATTAATTTTCCAAGGTATGAACCTTTTACCTCGTCAGTTTCCAGTCCAAGAAACTGTGGATTCAAGTGGGAAAGTGAGTACTACAATGGGTCAAACTAGGCCCAAGATTATTCAAATACAGACAAAGCATCAGAAGTCTGGAAAGATTCACTGAATGACAGAGTTCAGTCAGGAAAGAGAAGTGAAAGTCAGGATAAGCAGATGGTGAATCTTATTTCTACTGGGTTCTGTGACTGCTTTGAGAGAGAAAATGCTCCCATCCCTTTTCTTTTATGTTGAATCAGTATACAAATACATCGACTCAAAAAGAATTAGGAAAAAGGAGAGCAGCAGGAATAAAAGCGGGCTTTTCAAGACTTGGACTCTGAACCGCGCGGTTAGCTTGCTGTACTCTGGTATAAGTGAGCAAAAATGTATGAGAAAGCAAGTGTGTGCTTGCAGGTGGGGAGGTTAAGGATATGACCACCGGAGTGGAGGTACTGAGCGGTCTGCAGAGCTGAGAACTCCTGCCTAAAATGGGCTAACAGGCATGAGAGTTTCAAGTGTCTGTATTTGGGATGAGGAGGAGGTATGAACTCGGACGCTGCGTGGTGGAAGAGGAGGCAGCTTCTGGCTTTGGGCAGCACTCAGGTGAAAAGCGGCAGGCATGGAGGCATACAGGTATAGGGGAGGAGGGAGGCCAGAGGAAAAGAAGGGGCGAGGCCCGGTGGTAAAACTACAGGGGATCCTGGAAGGCGGAGGCTGGGAAATCAAGGGGGATTGGGGGAATCCCCAGGGGAAGTGGCGCCGCCGCGCGCGGGAAGTGCGGTCCGTGGGCGCAGAGGTAGCCCTCAAAGCAGGCCAGAACGTGCCCGAGTCGGGGGTTCGGGACCTAGAGGGAAGAGGGCGCAGTGAGGCGCGCGCAGGAGGCCGCCGGGCTCCGGCGAGCCTGAGGAGGGCAGCGAGAGTCCGCGGCTGCCGCGGGGACCGGGGGAGAGGGAGGGGGAGGGGAAGGGGAGCCTACCTGGACGTGCGGGGCGGCAGCTGGCAGTCCCGGAGGAGGCTCCTCTCCTGCTGAGGCGGCGGCCGAGTCGACCCTGGGAGCCCGAGGCTGCGGTGGCGGCGGCAGGGGTGATGGCGGCAAGTCCCTGTGGCGGCCGCCTCCGCCGAACCGCATCCCTCCTCCCCGGCCCGCCCTCCTTCCCTATCTCCCGCTTCCAAACTTCTTCTCCGGGATAAACAAACCCGCCGCCAGGGGCGGCCACCTCCACTGCTCCCGCCCCCGCGCAGCCCCCACCCACCCCCCCGCCGCGGGCCAGTCTGGGCTCCGGCTTCCGAGTTACGACTCTAGTCCCGTCCTCAGCCCGCGAGGGCGCGTGCGCGCGGCGGCGACGACTCGCGGGCCCTTGCTCCCTCCTCCAGCGCCGGGCACTTCCGGGCGGGCCCGGATCTGCCGCCGCGCTTGGGAAGCCGCTGCCGCCTGGCACTGGGCTCCCAGCTGGGTAGGCTCCGCAGCCCGCACCGCTCTGGCTAGGGGCACGGAGGTGCCTTGCTTGGCCTGACCCAAGCCTGCTGAGACCCCCTAACTTGTCCAATCCGCGGAAGGTGCCAAAGGCGACGGCCTTTTGTGCGCACAGGAATTTTTGGGGGCTGTAGCAGTCTCGGAAGCCAGGGTAGAACTTTTGCTAACCTCTGGTTGTGAGCCCAGATCTGTAAAAACTGCTGAGACACAACCAGCAGTATACAGGCTCCAACTGGAAATCGAGAACTTTACAGGTAGATAAAGTGCGCCCTGGAGCCAGTTTTCTGGTTGAGAGGATGAGGCTCAGCTGGCCTCCCGAAGGGCGGCCAGGGAAGCCTAGGAAGTGAGTGCACTTCCAGGAGAGCAGGTAGTCTCCTGGAACTGCACAAATGTGTGAAGAGAGGAGGTGACTACCTCGTCTCTTCAGACATTTAGTCTAAAAAGGGGTGACAACTTAGCTCTTTATTCCTCACAACCATGGGACAAAGATACTTAATCAAGCTACCAGGAGTAAACTTCTTTAAAGAAGTTTGGGGGACCAACAGTTGAGACTTTGACAGAGCAGGCGCAAATGTCATTCAAGGATCCCAACTCTTTTTACTTTGTGCATATGACAGCATTTTTTTTTTTTTTTTTTTTTTGAGACTGGGCTCTCTCTCTCATCCAGGCTGGAGTGCAGTGGTACCATCAGAGTTCACTGCAGCCTCAAGCTTTCGACCTCCTGGGCTCAAGTGATCTTCCCACTCAGCCTTCCAAGTAGCTGGGACTACAGGTATGCGCCACGCCCGGGTAATCTTAATCTAATCTTAATCTTTTGTAGAGACGAGGTCCTGCAATATTGCCCAAGCAGATCTTGAACTCCTGAGCTCAAGGGATCCTCCCACCTTGGTCTCCCAAAATGCTGGGATTTACAAGCGTGAATCACCACACCCGGTCATAAATCAACTCATTGCTTACCTGGCTTTCCAAGAAAACAGAGAGTGGGGAGGAAAAATATTTTTTTATTTTGCTATGTGATGAGTATTCTAAGCATAGACTTGTATCATCTCTCTTTATTCTTCCAACAACCTCTCTAAAATTTCAAGGTAGAAGTTATTCCCATTTTAAGAACTAGAAAGGGTAAGTAATTCATCCAGTGATTACTGGGATTATGAATACTGGACAGGCAGAACCTCCTCATTTCAAATCAATACTACATTAGCAATCTTTTTATTTATTTCTTTTTTATTTTTATTTGTTTGAGACGGTCTCGCTCAGTAGCCCAGGCTGGAGTGCAGTGGCGCGATCTTGGCTTACTGCAACCTCCACCTCCCAGTTTCAAGGAGTTCTGTGCCTCAGCCACTGAGTAGCTGGCACCACACACATGAGCCCAGCTAATTTTTGCCTTTTTAGTAGAGATGGAGTCTCACCATGTTACCCAAGCTGGACTCAAACTCCTGGCCTCAAGTGATCCACCCACCTCTGCCTCCCAAAGTGCTGGAATTACAGGTGTGAACCACTGCTCCTGGCCTTACATTAGCAATCTTATTGACTTATTTAAGACAAAACATGCTTGGGATACAATCTGTGCCAAAAGTTTTCAGATAAAGATAAAATTCGCAGCATAACCATTAAATTCAAAGTTGTCTTGGGCTGAGTTGGTAGAATGTTTATGCAGATCAAGGATGTCCAAAAGTTAAAAAACAGAACTGAAAGTGAGCATAGGGAGTAGGGGAAGAGTTGGTGGAGAGAGGAAATATTAGTGCAAACATTTCACCATCTTCAAAGGCCAGCAAAGAAGTTAAAACTATTTACTAATCTCACTGTGCACCCGTGTTAACTTTATGGTATGTGACATATAGTAAAAATTACATGTAATTTTTGACTAAGCCTTTTAGCTCTTTAAACCCCTTTAAAAATTGTAAGACACCTAATAAATGTAATATACTCAAAGAATTAAATTATAAGTGCATCAAGTACATTTCCAACTGGAAGTTAAGAGTGATGCTAACCCTTCACAGTTGACTGGGTTGAAATTGGGAACTGATTCAATAAACTTCCACTACAAGGATGTCAAATTGCTCCTCAAGCTATTCTCAGAGTCTTTTCCCTAGGCTTAATCTTTTTACTAGAGATTTTAAAAAAAAGCAAGGAATATGCTTGTTAGCAAACATGCAATACTTTATGAATCCTCAGTGATATAACTTTTTGGGCTTGCTGCTTCTGGACATTTTGCTAATGCCCCTACACGTTTTAATGCAGTCCATCAAGCTCTTTGCTAATAAGCTGGTTTCCACGCTTTTAAAATTTTTCCTTTTTCTTTCTTTTTTTCCTTCTTCTTTTTTTTTTTTTTTTTTTT